CCCCAAAGACTTCCTGTTTACAGACCAGAGATTTCCTGTTTACAGACCAGAGACTTCCTGTTTACAGACCAGAGACTTCCTGTTTACAGACCAGAGACTTCCTGTTTACAGACCAAAGACTTCCTGTTTACAGACCAGAGACTTCCTGTTTACAGACCAGAGACGTCCTGTTTACAGACCAGAGACTTCCTGTTTACAGAGACCTTGTCAAACTGTATTTAAAGCATCATCTGATGAGTTTTCTGGAACAAGGATTTCTTTGTTTTGGCTAATGTCTACAATATATTTATATTTCATATCTAAAAACTGAACAAGCTTCTGATCGTCTGGTTTCATCAGATGAGTTCTGATCCAAACCTGCAGCCTTTCATGTTCATATTCCTGACAAAATAAAAGTGTTTTTGGAACATGTACTGTATCTTTAATATTTAGTGTACAACTGGTGGTGTGTGAGGATGATGAGTCTGTTCTTCTGATGGTTCTGATTTAGTTTGGTGAGATCCAGTTTTCTGTTAAATAAATCAACTCAGGCAGTTTATTGTTGTTGATGTGACGGTCTTTGATTTACCATGCTGATGTTGTGATGATGATAACTGTTAAATACTGTGCTGCAGAGTTTCTGAATAGTGATTCTGGTCCAGTTGGACTGGTTCTGAGGCTCCTGCAGRTCAGTGACGTGTGGTCTCATGACGAGGTGTTTTTCCTTCTCACAAGATAAAACTCAGAGTGTGATCGTCACTTTTAATTTTAGCTGTCCTCAGAGAAAAACCTCTGGAATACAGATCAGGGACATTCATGTCAGAGAGGATCCATCAGAGTCCAAAACCTGATCCTGACTTAAAGAAATCTGTGATCCCAGTTTCATTTTATTCATACACTTTATGATCAGCTGCAATTAAAAATATTTACCTTTCAACAAGTTAAATGTTGAATAAAAACTGGTTATTGTTTTCTAAAACTTTAAATAAAACATCAGTTTTTTGAGGCAGACATTAAAAAAGACTTTACAGATTTTAGGCTAAAATATGACTCAGCTATAAAACACCAAACTATGATTCTACCACCACAGGTATCATGACTCAGCTATAATCAGCAGATTAATCCATGGTGTGTTTTCTGAACTCTTTGAGTTTTTAGACAGAAACCTCAACAGGACTTTCTAAATGAGATAAAAGTGGAGATGCTGAGCAGCAGCATCATGATCTCTGTGGGAACCTGCAGCAGAGGTGGACCCATCCGAGTCGAACCAGACCAGGCAGCAGTTTGTGCGACCCAAACATGACGTGTTTCTTTGTGTTTTGTGTTCCAGACCCACAGCTGAAAGGCATTGTGACGCGTCTCTACAGCGAGCAGGACTTCTTCCTGCAGATGCTGCCTGATGGAACCATCAGTGGATGCAAAGATGAGAACAGCGACTACAGTGAGTCTCAGAACCAGAACCAGCACTTATTGAGACAGATCTTTGTTTAGAAACTTTATCATTTGTCATCAGAATTTCCCTCTGGGATCAATAAAGTATTTTTGAATTTGAATTGAATCTATCAAGCCCAGACACCCTGCAGAGGAAACTCATTTCAGCTGCTTGGATCTGTGATCTCCTTCTTTCAGTCACTACCCAAAGCTCCTGACCATAGATGAGGGTAGGAACGTAGACAGACCGGTACAACGCCCACATCACTGCAGACGCAGCACCAATCCACCTGTTGATCTCCTGCTCCATTCTTCCCTCATTCATGAACAAGACCCTGAGATACTTAAACTCCTCCACTTGGAGCAGGACCTCGTCCCTGACTCAGAGAAGACACCCTACCCTTTTCCGGCTCAAGACCATGGTCTCAGATTTGGAGGCACTGATCCTCATCCCATCTGTGAACTGCTCCAGTGAGAGCTGGAGATCAGGATCTCATGAAGRTGGGTCTTTTTGTTCTGTGGGACTCCAGAAGCAGCTGATAGGTATCGGCAGTCCAAGCAGATTGTGGCTCGGGTGGTCTCTGAGGCAAAAACTCTGGCATGGGAGGAGTTTGGAGAGGCCATGGAAAAAGACTTGCGTACGGCTTCAAGGGGATTCTGGTCC